AGTTCCAGAGGCTCTATGACCTTCATCTGGCCTCTGTGGGTATTGCACCACATGGATGCACTTACATACATGTGGGCAAAATACTCACATACATAAAAAAACAATAAATAAATAAATAAATAAATAAATAAATAAATAAATAAATAGTATTTAAAATTAAAAAAATAAGACAAAGTGGATGGTTCCTGAGGATCGACACCAAAAGTTGTTCCCTAGCCTCCACATGCACCCGCACATTCATGTGCACCCACATGTGCACGTGCACACAGACACACAAACACACAGACACACACACACACAAAGAGGCAAGCATAGGGAGAGGATGAGAAAGGGCTTCTGGGAGGAACAAGGAACAAGCAACAAGCAACATTTCAACCTTTGCAGTCTGAAATATTCAGTTCTTCACATCACTGTGTATCAGAAAGTATCAGAAACACACAGAGGCCTTGTTAAAACACAAGTTGCGGCTGAGCTTAGTGATAGTGAATGAGAATGCCCCTCAGACCCCCTCCCTGTCCTCTAAGAAAGAGCTGCCCTCTGCCTGACTCTGGAAATCCCCTCCGTTGTTCAAACTCTTTCCTGGTACATCTGCTTATGGTTTCTATGGAAATGGTCTGGAGCAGAAGAGAAAGAATGTTCTGCTCCATGTAAGCTAGCCAATGGCTGTATAGGTTAAGGCTCTGGAAATCAGCCCTAGATTGTTCAAATCCTTTCCTGGTTCTTCTGTTTATGGATTCTGTAGAAATTCCCTGCTCTGCAGTTTTTGTGTTTAAAAGCCCTGAGTTTCCATGGCTCTGGGTCGCAGTGTAGCTCCCAAGCCTGCCTTGGCATCCCCGGCTGGTCAATCTCAATAAAGCAGTTAAGTTCTCCTGAGTCTCAGTGTCCAAGTGGTTGATTCAGGGAATTCTTTGGACTCCGAATATTTTGGGGGCTCATCCAGTGTTCCCTAAAACACCCTCGGTCTGTTTTCCTGTCTTTTTTGTTCTCCGTTTGGCACCCAATGACATCGGATCTGGTTTCTCCTGTGGTGAGTCTGTTTTGATTTCTGTTTTGGATGTCCGGACTTCTGGGGGCTCAAGGGAGAGAAACTGGATGCAGTATTGCTCTCCAAGCCGGAGGACAGGGGACACCCCGACCCTCCATCTGAATGGTTGACCACTTGTGCTTTCGGTGTCAACCCTAATCACTCTCACAGCGATTCTCCAACATGCAGTGCCTTTGTTCTGTCAGTCAAGTCTTGAACGGATCTACCTGAGCTGTCTGTTTCTCGTTTGTCTTTGTTTCAGCGTAATCCTTTTCTTTTCCATCATGGGTCAATCACCCTCATCTGAAGACACTCCCCTTGACTTAATTCTTTCTCATTTTAAGGATTTCTAGAAGGCGGCTGCAATCTCTGGAGACACTGTCTATTCGTAGAAATTCTGTACCCTTTGTTCTCTTGAAAGGCTGTCTTTTGATGGTGACTCCCCCCTCCCCCACTGGGTCCTTGAGTTAACAAACTTTCTTCTGTTCAGACTGTGATCTTCGGAAACCCAGGACACCCTGACCAGGTCCCTTATATTATGGCTTATTTTTACCTCTTGGACAAGCCTCTCAAATGGTTAAAACCCCACTTACCCCCTTCTCCCTCGAAGCCCTCCCTTCTGTCTCTGGGGCCCCGATGACCTCTTCATCGGTCTCGCCCACCTCCTGTCCTTCCCCCTTCAATGGAGGACCCCCTTTTAGATCCTCCCCCTTATTCTCATCCCCATCCGCTCCCCCTCCTTCCCCTGCCTCTCTTCCATCTCCTGCCACTCCTCCTTCTCCGACCAACCCCGCACTCCTTATGCCTCCCCACACATGTTCAGGCCAGCTCTATAGGCCTGAGACGACCCTTGCCATCCTTCCCCTCCATGCTATGGCCCCGCCGGATTCCTCTGGTCACAGCTTTCTTATTTATTCTCCTTTCTCAACCAGTGATCTTTATAATTGGAAATTACAAAATCCTCCTTTCTCTGAAAAATCCCAGGCTTTAATTGGGCTCCTGGAGACTATCTTTCTTACTCACCAGCCCACCTGGGATGATGTCCAGCAGCCCCTCCTCACTCTTTTTACCACTGAGGAACATACCCAGATCCTCTCAGAGGCCCAAAAACAGGTGCCATCTAAGAACAGCCGCTTCATGGAGGATCTGGAGGAGATCGAGGACATTTTTTCTTGACACCACCCCGACTGGGACCTTAACACTCCTGCAGGTAGGGGAGTCACTCAAACTCTACTGCCAGATTCTTATGGGGGGTTCTCCAGGCTGCTGCTAAAAAGCCTACAAATTTGTCAAAAGTCAGTCAGGTTTTGCAAGGACAGGCAGAGGCTCCAGCACAGTTCCTGGAGAGGCTTATGGAAGCCTACAGGGCTTACATTCCTATCGATCCTGAGGCACCAGAAAATCAATGAGCAGTAAACATCGTCTTCATGACCTAGTCTGCTCCTGATATCCGGAAGAAATTGTAAAAGTTGGAAGGCTTTGAAGGTATGAGTCTCTCTGAATTGCTTGAAATCACCCAAAAAGTCTTCAATAACTGTGAGACCCAGGAGGAATGTGAAGAACGTCACAATTGAAAACTGTCACAGGCTTTGGCTCTAAGAGAGAGTGAACACCCCTCCCCAGAAGATATCCACCCAGAGATCAGAGTTGGCAGAGGGGGCCGGGCCCTTGGGCTGGCCCCCTAAAGAGAGACCAAGGTGCCTACTGTAAGGAGATGGGACATTGGATAAAAAATTGTCCTCAGAAACACGAGGGAACTCAAAAGGTACTTGAGTTAAAAGATTGAGGGGGTCAGGGCTCGTCTCCCCTCCCCCAGCCCTGGCTAACCCTGAAGGTGGGGGGGAGGCCTATTGACTTTCTGGACAATACTGGTGCCACCTTTTCAGTTCTGAAGAGACCCCCCACCTTGGGCCCCTGACAGGACGACACACTTTTATTCAAGGGGTCATGGGTGGCCATACTTACCCTTGGACCACCAAAAAGACTGTTGACTTGGGCACAGGGAGGGCCCAACATTCCTTCATGCTCATCCCTGACTCTCCCTACCTGCTGCTGGGCTGAGACTTGCTAAGTAAACTCAGTGCCTCAATCTGTTTTGACAAAGATAAGGTCAATGTAGAGACCATTGGATTTGTTCTCACTCTGCAGGCTAAGGACAAACACTGTCTTCATGAAGGGCCCCCTCTGGACCAATTGCTGTCCCTAACTGCTAAATTGATGCAGGAAATCCCTCAGGTCTGGGCTGAGGGAAACCCCCCAGGATTTGCAGCCCACTGACCACCTGTGATGATCTCTCTGGAAGCCATTGCTAGCCCAGTCTGGGTATGACAATACCCGATATCCTTTGAAGCATGAGCCTCTATGCAGGTTCACCTAAAAAGACTGTGGAAATCTGGCATCTTAGTCCCCTGTCAATTCCCTTGGAACACCCCCCTACTCCCCGTGAAGAAACCAGGGACTAATGACTATAGACCCGTGCAGGATCTGAGAGAGGTGAATAAGGGAGTCATGGACATACACCCCACTGTGCCTAATCCTTACACCCTCCTGAGTTCCCTAGCCCCTGACAGGATGATTTATACCGTCCTGGATGTGAAAGATGCCTTTTTCAGTATCCCCTTGGACAAGGGGAGCCAACCCATCTTTGCCTTTGAATGGCAAGATCCTGAAGAAGGGCTCAGTGGCCAACTGACCTGGACAAGGCTTCTGCAAGGGTTTAAGAACTCTCCCACCATCTTTGACAAGGCCTTGCATGAAGACCTCTGAGGGTTCCGAACTGCCCACCCCCAAGTTTCTCTTCTGCAATACGTAGATGATTTGCTCCTCACCACCTCTGACCACCCCTCTTGCCTAGAGGCTACAAAAGACTTGTTGAAGGAACTTCAATGCCTGGGGTACAAGGTGTCAGCTAAAAGGGCACAGATCTGCCAGGATGAGGTACAGTATCTGGGGTTTCAATTGGAAGGGGGTATGTGCAGGCTCTCCTCTGCAAGGAAAAGGGCTAGGCCGTCCTGGACATCCCTGTTCCCCGAAGTAAAAGACAAGTCAGAGAATTCCTGGGGTCAGCTGGATATTGTCACCTGTGGATACCTGGTTTTGCAGAGCTGGCCAGGCCTCTATACGAGGTAACAAGGGGGGGGCCCTCAGCATTTTCCTGGGGAGAAGAACAACAGGAGGCCTTTGACAACCTAAAACAGGCCCTCACTTCTGCACCAGCCCTAGTCCTACCTGAAGTCTCAGAGGCCCTTCTACCTTTATGTAGAGGAACTGTTTGGTGTAGCAAAGGGCGTACTTGCTCAAACTTTGAGCCCCTGGAAGAGACTGGTAACCTACCTCTCAAAAAAATTAGACTCAGTAGCGGCTGGATGGCCAGCCTGTCTGAAGATCATAGCGGCCACTGCAGTCCTAGTTAAGGATGCTGATAAGCTCACCTTGGGACAAAAACTGATTGTGACCACCTCCCACTCTATTGAAGGGGTGCTGAGGGCACCGCCTGATCGCTGGCTCACAAATGCAAGGTTAACTCATTACCAGTCTCTCCTACTAGATGTGCCCCACCTGACATATATGGTGACCAGTGCCTTAAACCCTGCATCCCTGCTCCCTGAGACTGAGTCTGAGACAGTGATGCATCACGATTGTTCCAAACTGCTGCAGCATGTCCAGGGAAGCCGACCTGATCTCACCGACATACCATGGAAGAACCCTGACTTGATGATGTTCACAGACAGGAGTAGTTACAAGAAAGATGGAGTCAGGTATGCAGGGGTGGCAGTAGTCACCCAGGAGGACGTTCTATGGGTGGAAGCCCTACCCAAAGGAACCTCTGCACAAAAGGCTGAACTGATAGCCTTGATTCAGGCCCTAAGACTGGGAGAGGGTAAGACTGTCGACATTTATACTGACAGTAGGTGTGTTTTTGCCACTGCTCATGTACATGGGCCATCTATCGAGAAAGAGGCCTCCTGACATCAGAAGGAAAGACTATTAAACACAAACAAGAGATCATTGATTTGTTAAGGGTCATATGGGATGCCCAAAAGGGTGGCAGTCATTCATTGCCCAGGACACCAAAAGAACAACACACCTGAGGCCCGAGGAAACCAAAAGGTGGATCAAAGAAATAGCAGAATCCCTGTCTGAACCTGCTCTCCTGGCCCAGCCAGATCCTACATACCTGAAAAGCCTTCATACACAGAAGAGGATGCCAAATATTTACAGACAATTCCAAATGGGTATGTCTCCTCAGGATGGAGACTCACTCCAGATGGCAAGATCATCCTCCCCCTCCGCCTGGGGGAAATGTTAGTTCGCCAACTCCATAAAGGAACCCACATGGGAAAAGAAAAGATCAGGTTATTACTAACCAGATGCTTCCAGTTTCCTTCCTCAACAGCTACAATACAGGACATCACTTCCAGATGCATGGCATGCCAGATGACTAATGCCTACCCGAAAAATGATAAATCCTCAGGAAAATGTGAAAGAGGGACTGCCCCCAGAGTCCACTGAGAAGTGGACTTCACTGAGGTAAATCCGGGACGGTTTGGATATAAATATTTACTGGTTTTTGTAGACATCTTTTCAGGATGGGTAGAAGCCTTTCCCATCAAGAAGGAGATGGCAACCACAGTTGCCAAGAAGTTGCTAGATGAACTCATTCCCAGGTTTGGTGTGCCACTGGTGTTAGGATCTGACAATGGACCAGCGTTCATCTCTCAGGTAATTCAGGCCTTAGCAAAGGCCCTGGGGACAGATTGGAAACTACATTGTGCATACCATCCCCAGAGTTCAGGACAGGTAGAGAGGATGAATCGGACCCTTAAGGAGACTTTGGCTAAATTAACCTTAGAATCTGGTGTAGACCGGGTGACTCTCCTCCCTTTTGCCCTCCTCAGGGCTAGAAACTCCCCCTGTATCCAGGGAATAACTCCTTTTGAAATTTTTCGGAAGAACCCCCCTCCCCTGGTCCCAAAATTAAAGTCAGAACTGTTGGCTGAAATATCTAATCATGAAATCCTCCAGTCTATTAGGGCATTACAGGCTGTATAGGAGCACCTCCACCCCCTGATCGGGTATGTGTATGAACTGCCTCCAGCTACTCCACATCCTTACCGACCTGGAGACATTGTCTGGATAAAGCAACATCAGAAGGAGACATTGGCCCTTCAGTGGAAAGGACCATTCACTGTGATCCTGATGACTCCCATGGCAGTGAAGGTGGACGGACTGCTCACCTGGATTCATCACTCACACGTCAAGCCTGTCCACATTGACCAAGAAAAATGGAAGGTCCAACATCACCCAGAAGACCCCCTGAAACTTCGATTGGTAAAAGACAATTCATCTGTTCCCTCGGTGTCACTATGACTCTCTGCTCCTGCTGCCTCTACCCTCTGGCATGGCCCCACAAGGAGACTCCCAGCCCCAGACTTATGTCTGGAAATTATCTGGTACACAGACAGGAAAGGTTATTATGGAGGTGATGCCTCCTAACCCTCAGATTGCTCCCTGGTTTGAAACAAACCTATATTCCTTATGGTCAACACTGGGTAGAGAGGCCACCCGAAAGCATGAGGGATACCAAATGGGTGGTCATGGGGGAGCAATGGCTACTGGATGTAGGGCTGGCACCATAGATACAGAAAAAGCCTTAGGAACTGCCTTCTACGCATGCCCAGTGAACACCAAGACTGACTGTGATGAAGAAGGAAGCTATTACTGTGCTTACTGGGGTTGTGAGACATGGGCCCCGACATGGTATCTGCTTGAACGACAAGATCCATACATTAATATTCAATTGGAAAAAAAATAGGTCTTGTACAGTCCCCAAGACCTGTAACCCTCTTATCATAACCCTAAAACAATGGGATGTCTTTACTATGGATCAGAAGTGGGACATGGGCCATACATGGGGACTGAGGGCCTATGTATCTGGCATGGACCCTGGAACCCTATTTACAATTCAAAAATTCCCAAAACCCATACCGCCTCTATCCATAGGACCTTTGGCAGAACTTAAGCCAGATTCAGCTCCTCCTCCTTTAGAAACCCCGACTAAATTGGTCCCCAGTCTGACCACTCTCCCAACTATGAGGACAATGCCTCTGAGGGATGAAGATTTCCCTCCCCTTCTAGAGGGGTAGCCCTTATCAATACCATGAAGGCTACCTTCCAGTATTTAAATAACACAAGCCCTGAGATGACCAAAGATCGCTGGCTCTGCCTGGATCCCTGACCACCCTACTACATAGCTTTTGCCCTCACTGCAAAAAGGGAGGAATTAAAAATAGTGCCCCTGAATGACACTGCCTCATGTCCCTGGGAAACTACTTTCACCCTAGGGGATCTGAAGGGGCAGGGGCTGTGCTTCATGTCCAAAGAATATCCTTTGACTACTTCTCCCTACCTCGGGGTTTGTGCACCCCCAGTATTTCATAGGGAGACAGGAATTTTGTGTACTGGTGCATGCCATGCCCCAGGTTTATTACTATGGAGGGGATGCTGGAAGATATCATATGGGTCTCTTGGCCTCGAAGAGCCGTGGCAGCCTCCATTTTAGTTCCCCTCCTTGTGGGAACGGGGAAAGCAGGGTCCGCCGCCATAGGAACAGCAGCCTGGGTCATCAGCAATCAAAACTTGAGTGAACAGGTTGATAAAGATATTAGGAGATCACATGCCACTGCCTCCTACTTAGAACAACAGGTAGACTCACTAGCTGAAGTAGTCTTACAAAACTTGTAAGGGGCCTCAATTTGCTTTTTCTCAAGGAAGGTGGACTCTGCATGGCTCTGGGAGAAACATGTTTTTATGCCAACCACTCAGGTGTGATTAAAGACACCTTGGCCCAAATCAAAAAGAGTCTTTTAGAATGAGAAGAACTCAGAAAAATTTCCCAAAACTGGTTTGAGTCCCTATTCTCCTGGTCGCCTGATTCATCACTGCTCTGGCCGGTCCCCTCTTAATCCTTATAGCACTGTTAACCTTTGGACCCTGTATCTTTAATGCTCTAGTCAAATTTGTTAAACAAAGGGTCTCCACTGTACAACTGATGGTTATGAGGGCCCATTACAATTCCCTAGATGACACATATGAATCAGTGGTTTGATTCAAGAAGATTTCCCAAAACAAAAGAGGGAAATGAAGGAGAGTGCCCCTCAGACCCTCTCCCTGTCCTCTGAGAAAGAGCTGCCCACTGCCTGACTCTGGAAATCCCCTCCATTGTTCAAACTCTTTCCTGGTACATCTGTTTATGGTGTCTATGGAAATGGTCCTGGGGCAGAAGAGGAAGAATGTTCTGCCCTAGGTAAGCTAGCCAATGGCTGCATAGGTTAAGGCTCTAGAAATCAGCCCTAGATTGTTCAAATCCTTTCCTGGTTCTTCTGTTTATGGTTTCTATAGAAATCCCCTGCTCTGCAGTTTTTGTGCTTAAAAGCCCTGAGTTTCCATGGCTCTGGGTCGCAGTGTAGCTCCCGAGCCTGCCTGCGTCCCTGGCTGGTCAGTCTCAACAAAGCAGTTAAGTTCTCCTGAGTCTCTGTATCCAAGTGGTTGATTCAGGGAATTCTTCGGACCCTGAACAATAGTATGCCTGTAATCCTAGAACTTGGGAGGTGGAGGAAGGGGGATTAGAAGTCCAAGCTACCTTCAGCTACCTAACAAGCCTGAGGTCAGTCAAGCTTCCAGGAGACCTTGTCTCAAAAATAAAAAAACAACAACAAAAAACTACCCACACAGGTTTCTGGGCCCCACTCTTAGAACGTGATTCACATTTCCATCAAGCCCCAGGGGAAGCACAGGGCCTGAGTTCTAGAAACAAACAGGAACAGTCTTAGAGACAATGAATAAAGGGCTTGGGTATAGCTCAGTTGGGAGAGCACTTGTTTGGCATGTGCAAGCTCCTGGGTTCAGTCCCTAATGTGAGGGGAACAGTGACAAATACGCAGTGGTTTCTGCCAGATTTATACCATGTTTCTTAAACAGTACAAAGAAGTAAGTGCCCCTGGAGGTGGCCTCGAACTCACAGAGATCTGCCTGCCTCTGCCTCTTGAGTGCTGGGATTAAAAGTATATGCCACCATGCCCAACAAAAAATGGTAGTTTTGTTTTTATTTTTATTTTATGTGTATGTGTGTATTGCCTGCTTGTAGGTAAGTGCACCTGTGTCATGCAATATCCTCGGAGGACAAAAGAGGCTGTTGGATACCCTGGAACTGGAGTTACAGACAGTTGTTAGCTGCCATGTGGGTGCTGGGATTCTAACCCGGGTCTTCTGCAAGAACAGCCAGTGTTCTTAACCACTGAGCCCCCCAAAATGGTAGTTTTGACATTGCAGCACTAGTTAGAAAAGCAAGAAAGGCCACTTCCAGGTTAGTGAGATGGTTTAGCAGGTAGGTGCTTACCACCAAGTCTGACAACCTGAGTTCAGTCCCTGAGATCCACATGGTGGAAGGAGAGAACCAACTCCTGCAAGCTGTCCTCTGACTTCCATATAAGTGGTGCATGCATTTGTACACACACATGCACTAAATAAATAAATACATAAATAAATAAATGTTAGAAAGAAAGCCCACTCCAGATTGAAGGGCAGGGTGGGAAGTAAAGGGGGATGGATAAATCAGACATTCATCCATGAATTCCTGCTCTTTTCAGGCACATGCCCCAGCCTGGCATTCTCATAACAGTACATGGCGCAGCAAACAGCGAGGTGAGCTGGAACCTTTGCGATCAAAGGGACCTGGGCCCAGAGGAGCGATGCTCTGCCTCTCCCTACCCCACTTTCTTTCCTTTAAGGCCTGATGGGAATTTCACTGAACTGTGACTAGGGGGAACCTGTGGACATTAGCAATCCCAAGGACATTGAGGCTGCTGAGAGATACCTACAGTTCTGCCTCAGCTGGTTTGCCAACCCCATTTATACTGGTGACTACCCCCAAGTCATGAAGGACCATATTGGTGAACCAAGTCATGTTTTGGGTTTTTGGGTTTTTTTTGTTTTTTTTTTTTTTTTTTTTTTGGTCTTTTTGAGATAGGGTCTCCCACTAGCCCCAGCTGACCTGGAATTCACTATGTAGACCAGGCTGGCCTTGAACTCACAGAGATCTGCCTGAATCTGCCTCCCAAGCGCTAGGATTAAAAGCGTGCACCACCACACCCAGTATGTTTTTTATTTTTAATTAAACTTATTTTTGCATGTGTGTTTATGTATATGTAGATGCATGTGTGTGTGCGGGTAGATGTACATGCATATGCATGCACATGTGTGTGAAAGTCAGAAGACAATCTTAAATGTTTGTCTTCAGGTACCATCTACCTTGCCTTTTACCAGGTTGGCCTCAATCTCATAGAGATCCACTTGCCTCTGCTTCCCAAGTGCTGGGATTAAATGTGTGTGCCACTACACCACCTGGCTACCTTATTTTTTGAGAGAGACTCTCACTGGCTTGGAGTTTGCTGAGTAGGCTAGGTTAACTGGCCACTGAGCCCAGGGATCTGATTTGCTTGTCTCTGCCTCTCCAGTGCTGGGATTCAAACATGCACCACCACTATTTTTTTCTGTAGTGTGTGTGTGTGTGTGTGTGTGTGTGTGTGTGTGTGTGTGTGTGAGAGAGAGAGAGAGAGAGAGAGAGAGAGAGAGAGAGAGAGAGAGAGAGAGAAAGGGGGACTTCCAGAGGAGAAAAAGTTCTTAAGGAAAAAGGAAGAAAGGAAAAGAGAGTAACAGAATACTTGTAACATGAGCAGAAGGGGAGAGCAACTGGGGAAGGAAGTGGACCAGCAAGAGAGGACACTGGGGGAGGGGACAATAAGGACAAAGTATAATGACATCTATATACAACAATGCCACGATAAAACCCATTATTTTAAATGCTTACTTCAAAAAAAGAACTCAGTCCAGGGGCCAGAGAGATGGCTTAGCAGTTAAGAGCACTGACTGCTCTTGCAAAGGATCCAGGGTTGGTTCCCAGCACCCACATGGTGGCTAACTGTCCATAACTCCAGTTCCCTCTTCTGACCTCCAAGAACACTGCATACACGTGGTACACTTACATGCATGCAGGCAAAACAACTCATACACATAACAAACAAAAATTCAATCCTTCAGTGTGACTGGATCTAACTGTATGAATCGGTGCAGAGACAATGTACTGTGGTTTTTCTGGTTACTAAATACAACCAGCAGCAATAACATGCTGATATATTTTTATATTTTTAAAAAATTTTTAATTTTGGGGGGAGTCTTTTTGAAACAGGGTCTCCCTGTAGCCCCAGCTGGCCTGGAACTCATTATACAGACCAGGCTAGTCTTGAAATCACAGAGATCTGCCTGCCTTTGGCTCCCAAGTGCTGGGACTACAGGCATGTGCCACCATACTTAGCTGATTTGTTTATTTTTATTTTGTATGTATGATCATTTTGCCTGCATGTATGTAAGTGTACCTATATCATGCAATGCCCACAAAGGCTAGAAGAGGGCATTGGATCCCCTGGAACTGGAGTTATAGATGATTGTTGGCTGCCATATGGGAACTGAACCCAGGTCCTATGGAAAAGTAGCCAGTGCTCTTAACCACTGAGCCATCTCTCTAGCCCATAGGCTGATGTTTTAAAGATAATAATACAAACTTTTCACTCATTTAATCCAAGTCAACAGCCTCCCCACAAATGATGTTTTTAGATTTATTTTTATTTTATGTGTATGAGTGTTTTGCCTGCATGTATATATGTGCGCCATGTGCACACAGTGCCTGCAGAGGCCAGAAGAGGGTGTTGGATCCCCTGGAACTGGAGTTACAGAGGTTGTTAGCTACCAAGTGGGTGCTGGAAATGAAACCCAGGCCCTCTGCAAGAGCATCAAGTGTTCTTAACCACCGAGTCACCTCTCTAGCCCCCCTACAAATGATCTTATTGTAACATGTTAGATGATTGCTTGTTTGGCTATCATTATTGCTGTTGTTGTTATTATTGTTGTTGTTGTTGTTATTGTTGTTTTTTGTGAAGCTAGGGATCAGACCCAGGGCTTTATGCAGTTATCTCCAACCCTCCATCATTCATATCTTTCTCACACATGGGTGAAATACAAGTTTGTCAGTGAAAGGATATACCTTTTTGCAATCCTGAGGTAGGACAAAATTGCCCAGGGCAGAGCCCATCACAGCTTACACTATCAATAGTGTGTGAACACATCCATGACATGCCCCCCCCCCATACCAACACTGGTCTTCCAGTTCCTTTCTAGGAGCCCAAATGACCAATTTTTAGGTAATTTGTATGGAATGTAAGGAATACAATCCTATTTCTTTCCAGATTGCTTCCCAGCTATTCACATACGTATCACCTACTGAATAATGATGAAAACATTACACTTTTTGGCTGTGCTAGGGATCAAATCCAGGGCCTTGGACATGCTCAAGTGCTCTACAGTTGAGCTATTCTCCTAGCCCCCAAACAGTAAGCAACAGAAACTTTAATGTTCTCTAGATATGGGCTAGAGAGATGGCTCTGTTACTGGTTGGGGTTCGAGGATGGTCATCATCTAGGAGTTGTGGCTAGTTTCCTTTTCTTAGCCAATTAAAAAATAAAAAGGCAGGCATGGTGGCGCACGCCTTTAATCCCAGCACTTGGGAGGCAGAGGTGTTGGGGGACCCACACAGAGGCAGGTGGATCTTTGTGAGTTCAAGGCCAGCCTTTTGGTCTACATATGAGTTCCAGGACAGCTGGTGCTACAGGGAGACACTGTCTCAAAAACCAAAAAGAAAAGAAAAGAAAGATGGAGATTCATACACATTCACTCAGAGAGAAAAGCTCTTCACAAGTGGAGAGGGGATTCAAAAACCAAAAATCCACGTCCCTGTGAGGGTCTGGGTTTTTAATGGTTTTAGTGGCTTTCCCTTCCCCTAATTTAGAATTGGTAAACTTAAACAAAGAAAAGGCTCATAGGTATATGGCTTCAAATGAGCTGTCCAGTCCAACGTTCAGTCCTTGTTTTATCTGAACTCGTTTGGACTTGTTGGCCTGAAAGGAAACGCTGTGGACTAGAGGGAGAGCCCCCAGGCCTTTGTCTCAGACCAAGAGGACAGAAGTATGCTATCTTTATTATTTATCAGTGGCCCTTCCCCTATCTATCTGCCTGTCCAAATACATGTCTAGCTCCTAGTCCCTCAACTCAGTGGTTAAGAGCACTTGCTACTCAATTTTGAGGACTAGAGTTCAGTTCCCAGCACCCCCATTGGGTAGCTCACAACCACCTGTGACTCCAGTGCCCTCTTCTAGCCTCTGCAGGCACCTGCATGTACCTGTGCATATATACATATATACACACACACGTATAAATAAAAATTAAATAGATCTTTAAAATAAAATTACTTTGGAGAGTTTTCAAATATCAAAATTTCAGTTTGAAAGGCAAAGGATACATTTTTCATGCACATATATACTTTGTAGCCCAGCCCAGGGCTGTTTTGTTTTTTTTTTTTTTTTTTTTGAGACAGAGTCTTCTTGTAGTCCCAGCTGGCCTAGAACTTGCTATGTAGAACAGACTGGCCTCCATCTCAGAGATCTACATGCCTTTGTCTTTGTTAGGATTAAAGGCATGCATCACCACTCGGTAACTTTAAGGCCAATTTTCATGTTAAGTTGCCAGTGTCATCGTGGAACAGCAAAATAGTTGTGAGAAAGTAAGAGTAGGTAACAACTCTCGTGTCCTCTCCTATCAGGAAGAAGAGTACAGAGCAAGGCCTGGACATGTCCAGGTTGCCAGTGTTCTCCCTCCAAGAGAAGAGCTACATTAAAGGCACATCTGATTTCCTGGGATTGGGCCATTTTACCACTTGCTACGTCACGGAGAGGAAATACCCTTCCTGCCAGGGGCCCAGCTACCAGAATGACCGAGACTTGGTAGAGCTTGTTGATCCTAACTGGACAGATCTGGGGTCTCTGTGGCTTTATTCCATGTCCTGGGGATTCAGAAGGCTCCTCAACTTTTCCCAGGTACTTATCCCATGAAGCTGTGTGAAAGGCTTTCAGACCTAAATTTAGTTTCTCCCAGCTGAAGCCCAGACGACTACATGTGAAAGTTAAAATACCAGGTATGGTGGCACAGACTATCACCCCAGCACTTGGGTGGTACAGGCAGGAAGATCAGTTCAATATTAGCCTCAGCGACATAGTGGGCTTGAGGTCAGTCTGAACTACATAAGTCCCTGACTCAAACAAAAGAAACAAAAACTAACAAAAAAGTTAATAAATCAAGAAATCCAGTCACCTATACTTCAAAGACTACTAAATGTAGGCCCTTACAGACGAATGCCTATGTGAATAACCACATCTAACTTCAACTAAAATTCTCATCATGCATTTAGTCTGCATTTTAAATTTTATACATTATATATAATGAATTTTAACCATACTCACCTGTCATCTCTTATCTCTCCTCCACTGCTAACTCCTTCCAAACAAGCTAGCCGTGTGTGTGTGTGTGTGTGTGTGTGTGTGTGTGTGTGTGAACTGAGTTTAACTAGGGTTGTTTGCATCAACATGGGTGAAGGGTCATTTACTGGAGCATGGGCAACCTGACCAGTGGCTACACCACTGAAGAAAATGACTCTGAGTCATTTCAAAGTCCTTTTCACCTGAAATGGAATTTGTGGGAAAGAATAAGACCTATGTGGCTGGAGAGATGGCTCAGCCATTAAGAGAACTGGCAGCTCTTCCAGAGGACTGGGATTTGTTCCCAGCATCCATATGGCAGCTGACTGCAACTCCATTTCCAGGGGATCCTATGTCTTTTCTGGTCTCCATGACACAGATGCACTTACATACATACTGGCAAAACACACACATAAAGTAAAAATTAAAAAAATTTTTTTTAAAGATCTGAAGTGCATTTTTTTCACCCAACAAGCCAATTTCCTCGGAAGCATATTTTTCATACAACTAGTCTTTGTTGACACTCATCTCTAAACAAATGCTACCTGGTACCCACCATCTGCTAACATGTACTTCATTAGACCATGACAGACTTGTAATCCAGAAATGCACCTGTAAGTCAGAATTTTTTTAAAAATATTTTATTATTTTTATTCCATGTGTATGAGTGTATTGCCTACATGTATGTGAGTGCACCTATGTCGTGCAATGCCACAGAGGTCGGAAGAGGGCCTCAGATTCCCCTGGAACTGGAGTTAAGGACAGTTTGTAGCCATCACGTGGGTGCTGGGAAATCAAACCTGGGTCTTCTGCAAGAGCAGTCGGTGCTCTTAACCACTGAGCCATCTCTCCAGCCCCCAGAATTCTTTTCAAATTTGATGTGTATTAGTGTTAATGCCTGCATGTGTGTAAATGTACCCATGTCATGCAATGCCCACAGAGGACAGAAGAGGGTGTCAGATCCCCTGGAACTAGTTATGGACGTTTGCTATCTGCCATGTGGGTGCTTGGATTCAAGCCCCGGTCCTCTGCAAGAGCATCCAGTGCTCTTAACCACTGAGCTATCTCTCCAGTCTAGTAAGCCAGGATCTTTGACAGCCATTACTACCTCACTTTAAGACCCAATACAGTGATCCTCCCATATATGTGACAGAAAATGGAGCAACTCAGAAGCTACACTGTGCTCAACTCTGTGATGAGTGGAGAATTCAGTACCTCAGAGGATACATCAATGAAATGCTAAAAGGTGATACTCAGCTGATACTCAGCTCATTTTTCTTTTTAATGTGTATTCATGTATTGCCTGCATGTAGGTAAAGTGCATCCATGTTGTGCAATGCCCTCGGAGGTCAGAAGAGGCCGTCGGATCCCCTGGGACTGGAGTTACGGACCGGACCGTTGTTAGCTGCCATGTGGGTGCTGGGATTCAAACCCGGGTTCTTCTGCAAGAACAACCAGTGTTCTTAACCGCTGAGCCATCTCTCCAGCCCCCATTTTTATTTAGACAAAATTTACTGTCATGCACCATCAACTAAAACTTGCTTCTAAAGCTCATTAAAACATTTTAATCTTCTTTGTATTTCCAAGTAGATGAAATTTAT